CCAGCATGCCCCAATAGGGGCTGTTTGGGCCAGGCTGGCTGTGGGAGGGGCTGGTTGAACTCCTAGTCAATGAGACAATTTGCATATTAGCCTTTTATTATATAGGACTAGTTTCAGATGTTCATCGTAGTGATTAGATAATCATATACTGTACATACGGTTCAACCAGATATTTCCAATACCAACCTACATAGATATTACAATATATTTGACTATATCACACTGACTATACTGTAACTATAAATTTGTTCTTAATCCATTCACTTTTTTCATCCAGTCTCCAACCCCCCTCCACTCTGGCAACCAGCCGTCTGTTCTCTGTATCTATGTTCACGTTTCTGTTCTGTTTGTTTGTATATATTCTTCTTTAGATTCCATATATAAACTAAATCAGATGTGATGTTTGTCTTTCTGTGATGCACTTATTTCATTTAGTATAATAATCTCTAGGTCCACTCATGCTGTCACAAATGGTAAAATTTCCTTATTTTCTATGGCCGAGTAATATTCCATTGTATATGTGTACCACTGCTTTATCCACTTGTCTATTGATGGCTACTGTAAATAACACTGCAATGAACATGAGGGTGCATATATTCTTTCCGATTAGTGTTTTGGATTTCTTCAGATATATACCCAGAAGTAGGATTGCTGGGTCACAGGGAGTTCCATTTTTAATTTTTGGAAGAAACACATGTTATTTTCTATACTGGCTGCACCAGTCTGCATTCACAGCAACAGTGCATGAGGGTTCCCTTTTCTTTACATCATCACCAACACCTGTTGTGTATTGATTTATTGATGACTAGAGGCTCGATGCATGAATTCGTGCATGGCCGGGAAGGAGGGAATGTGGGAGGTAGGCCGGCTGGCCCTACCCCTGGTCAAACTGCTGGTCCAGGGGACAATTTGCATATTACCCTTTTATTATATAGGATAGCCATTCTTACAGGTATGAGATGGTATCTCATTGTGGTTTTAATTTGCATTTTGCTGACAATTAGTGACACTGAACATCTTTTCATATGTCTATTGGCCATCTGTATGTCCTCTTGAGAAAATGTCTATTCAGGTTCTCTGCCCATTGTTTCATTGAATTGTTTGGTATTTTGGTGTTGAACTGTATGAGTTCTTTATGAATTTTGGATATTAATCCCTTATCAGTTGAATCATTGCGAATATCTTCTCCAATCCATAGGTTGTCTTTTTTTGTTTCCCTGAGATTTACTTTGCTGTGTAAAAACATTTTGGTTTGATGTAGTCCTATTTATTTATTTATTTATTTTGGGGGGTTCCCTTGCTCAAGGAGATAGGTCATAAAAAATACGTCTAAGAGAAATGTTAGAGGTGTTATTGCCTATGCTTTTTTCTAGGACTCATGGTTTTGAGTCATATTTATGTTTTTAGTCCATTTTGAGTTTATTTATGGTGTAAGAAGGTGGTCTAGTTTATTTTTATTTTTGCTTGTATCTGTCCAATTTTACCAGCATCATTTATTGAATAGACTGTCTTTACCCCATTGTATGTTCTTATTTCCTTAGTCAAATATTAAATTACCATATAGGTGTGGGTTTACTTCTGGGTTCTCTATTCTTTTCCATTTCTATTTTTATGCCAGTTCCATGTTGTTTTGATTACTATAGCCTTGTAATATAGTTTGATATCAGGTAGGGTGATATCTCCAATTTTGTTCTTCTGTCTTTCTTTTTTTTAAAAGAAAGGTATTTTTATTGATTTCAGAGAAGAAGGGAGAGGGAGAGAGGGACAGAAACATCAATGATGAGAGAGAATCACTGATCAGCTGCCTCCTGCATGCCTCCCACTGGGGATCCAGCCCACAACCCAAGCATGTGCCATGAATGGGATTCAAACAGTGACCTCCTGGCTCATAGGTTGATGCTCAACCACTGGGCCACACCTGTCAGGCTGGTGGTCTTTCTGAAGATTGTTATCTATTCACGGTCTTTAGTGGTTCCATATAAATATTTAAATTATTTGTTCTAATTCTGTGAAAAATCTGATATTTTTATACAAATTGTGTGAACCTATACATTGCTTTGGGTAGTATGGAAATTTTAATTAAGTTAATTCTTTCTATCCATGAGGATAATCTATACTGCCATTTACTTACATCTGCTTCAATATCTTACTTGGTATCTTACCTCCCTGGCACTGTATTTTATGGAAGCAACTTAAGTGGGATTGTTTTCTTAGTTTCCCTTTTTTTATAGTTCATTATTGGTGTACAAAAACACAACTGATTTTTAAATCTTTATTTTGTATCCTGCTACTTTACTTGATTCATTTATTAGCTCTTATAGTTTTTTGATGATAGAATCTTTATGGTTTTTTATATATAGTACCATTATCTGCAAATAGTAAGTTTTACTTCTTCCTTTTCAATGTGGATGCCTTTTACTTCTTCTTCTCTGATTGTTCTAGTCAGCACTTCCAGTACTATGTTGAATAGGAGTGGTGAGAGAGGACATCCCTGTCTTGTTCCCTATCTCAAGGGAAATATTTTAAGTTTGTTTTAAAGTGTATTTTGTCTGTTGTAAGCATTGCTACCCAGCTTTTTTCTTTTGTTTCCATTTGTATGAAATATCTGTTTCCATTCCTTTACTTTCAGTCTGTTATCTTTTATTCTGAATTGGATATCTTGCAGACAGTGTGTGTGTATTCTCATATATCTTATATTCTTATTCAGTTACTGTATGTTTTTTGATTGGAATGTTTAATCCTTTTACATTGAAAGTAATTATTGACAGGTATGCACATATTGTTATTTTATTCTATTTTAAAAATATTTTTATTGATTTCAGAGAGGAAAGGAGAGGGAGAGCTAGAAACATCAATGAGAGAATTATTGTCTGCCTCTTGCATGCTCCTTACTGGGCATCAAACCATGACTCCTGGTTCATAGGTTAATGCTCAACCACTGAGCCACAATGGCCAGGCCTTTATAGTTATGTTTCTTTTATTTTTTTTATTTTTTATTCTCTTCTTATTTTTAAAGAAGTCCCTTTAACATTTCTTATAATACTGGTTTGGTGATAATGAATTCCTTTAGCTATTTCTTGTGTGGGAAGCTCTTTTTTCCTTTCCATTTTAAATGATAGCTTTGCTATGTAAACTAGTCTTGGTTGTTGGTCCTTGCTTTATATCACTCTGAATATTTCATGAAATGTTTCTGTTGAGAAAAAACTGATAAGTCTTATGGGAGCTCTTTTTTAGATAACAGTCTTTCACTTGATGCTTTTAAGATGCTTTGTCTTTAACTTGCCATTTTAATTATGATGTGTCTTGGTGTGGGCCTCTTTGGGTTCACTTTGTTTGGAACTCTGTGCTTCCTGGACTTAAGTCTTTTTCTTTTAAAAACATCAATCAATTGCCTCCCACACCTGGCCTAACCAGGGATTGAACCTGCAACTTAGCTATGTGCCCTGACTGGGAATTTACCAGCAAAGTCCTCATGTTAAAGGAGATTTAATATAATTCTTAAAGTAATTAAGAAAAGCATAAGACTTATGAGTACCTGAGTATAGTTTCCAACACCTAGAAAACTGGGAAATTTATTTTCTTTTACCTATAACATATATATTGCATTTCCTTTTATATTTACACAGCATTAAAGGTAGTTCCTCACCAAATAATCCTATGTAACAAAAGAGTAATATGTAAATTAGCCATCACTCCGCAACAAAATGGTGGTGCCTTTAGCAGATGCTGGCAGCATTGCCCTGGCAACGGGAGCCCAGCATCTGCTCCTTGGCCGCAGAGGGAGGGGAGGGGCATCTAGCCAGGGGCCTGGGAGCGTCTGTGTGTGCCAAGGCTGTGTGGCAGGAGGAAAGGGACCTCTGGGGCTGCGGGCCTGGAGTCTGCACACCCAGAGTGCACACCCCAGCCTGCCTTGTGGTGGGAAGGGAAGGAGCCTGTGGGGCCCCAAGCTCAGGGTCCCCGTGGCAGGGGGAGAATCAGAAAAATGGATCTTTCCAGTTCCTGATGCTGACGGAGCCCTAGGGGTGCTGGGGTCCTCCACCTGCAGCCCCCAGTTGCAGCCCAGCAGCCCCAGTCGCAGACTGGAAGCCCCCTGCCAGAAGTCCAGATGGGACCAGTGTGGCGCTGCGGTGGGGGGGGGTGGTCCGGAAGGCACTCTATGGACATCAAATCACTGCTGCCGAGGCCGCCCCACACACACACTTTCAAGTAGTGTGGTCCAAGGAGGCAACTCCTGAGGCAAGGTTCCCATGGCAGCTGATGCTCACCATGCCAGGTGAGGAAACCGGACCTGAAAGCCCAAGCCCCCGAGTACCCAGGCCGGAGCCCCGAGGAGGCCCCAGTATAAGCAAATTCCCAGAGGCTCTGTGGGAGGGGAGGAACCTCTGGCTAGAGGCCAGGATGAGTGATGCTGGCGTCTCTGCAGGCCAAGACCTGGCTGAGAGACACCCCCCCCCCCCAATGCACCCCTGTGCACGAGTTTCATGGACCGGCCTCTAGTACATAATAACTCTTTAGACACTTAAAGGTGACTGTTAATTTAGTCCTCAGCATTTCTCTTCATACTCAACCATACTAAATTCCTTTACTATTTCCTGTCTGCTTTCTAATCTTTTTTCATAGTCTCTGAACTTAGTACACACTTGCCAAATCTTCCAAATTGCACAATTCAGTATATCCTGAAAGCAGGTGCAATGTGAAAGAGGCCAATTTGTGGGTTACGAAAAATATGTCCCCAAAGAGGATTAAAAAAAGAAATCAATGATGTGAAGTATGAAGTGGGAACTACCAGAAGCAGCCAAATACTTAGGCGTGCAAGGCAGACACAACACACTGTGGGAAACGAGAGGAAATTGGTTGGCTTTCCTGTTTCTTTGCTTTATAACCCATCACCTATCTCCTCTCAGAGGGTCCAATAACCAGTTATCAGATTCCGCTCTACAAAAGTAGTTCTTACGCTGCCGTGAAGCCTGCCGCAGTGCCCTGAGTGGATGCGTTCTCACCTGAACGGCACTTCTTCCTGCGGAACGGCGACATAGTAACGGATGAAAAACCGCTCCGAGTCTTCACGCTCGTCGTCAGTAACAACACTGCCGTTAAGTTTGGAAACTGATGGCAATCTGTCAGTAAAACCAAAATGAAGACATTTTCGGATATGAAAAACATTTAGCGTTGGCAACAGAATTATTGATTTGAGCCATTATTCTCTTGAAAGGAACTTTTGATGCAGCTGTGCTTGTGTACAACTACCGACATAAACTAAAGGGACATAATATAAAAGAACCCAAAACATTTAAGCTTCCTTTTTGGATGAGACACTGCCCTTTTATAATCACAACTCACTCTTCAAAATAACATTGTCCAACTTGACAATGTTGCATTGTCCAACTTGAACACCGTGCAAGCCACACATGTAATTTACACATAGTCTCTAACCCTAGTACATATTTGCCAAACCTTCCATCTCACAGAACTCAGTATGTCCTGAGAGCAGATGCATTGTGAAAGAAGATTTGGCAAATGTATCCTAGGTTTACCAGTCATATTTAAAAAAAATAAAGCAGACGAAATTTGTTTTAATAATATATTGTATTTAACTCAATATATGCAGGATATAATCATTTCAACCTATAATCAATACTAAAAAATAACTCATGAGATACTTTACATTCTCTTTGGCATATAAAGTGTTTGAAATCCAATGTATATTTTACACATTTAGCACATTTCAATTCAGACTGGCCATATTTCAAGTGCTTAAAATGGTACCAAATTGGACACAGAAGTCTATAGAGTAGTCAATACCGTTTGGTCATATACTTCAGGAATTGGCTTATTATGTTTACAAAAGAGCTTTGTAAAAATATAGCCACAGCAAGACCTCTTCCTCCTGGAATTTCTTCAGAGCAGTGTCCAGGTGCGTGTCCCTGAGAGCAGCAGGGAAGCCCTATTGGGTGTCAGCAGGGCAGAGTTTAAGTAGCCACTCTGCTTCCTGGGACCTTACAGCCTCCTGCCCTCCTTGGGAACTGCTGTGAGAGGGCACAGAGAGCACTTCAGTGCTCCGTGCCTCACACTTCAGCTGAACTCTGCTGCTGCTGAGGCACATGCAGAAAGCACGGTCATCTCAGCAGTCTGGGTGTCTGAGGCAGGAAAGGCAGAAGATAACGAAATAGTAGCCAAATCTAAGTCAACCTCTATGATAATCGGAAAATACAGATAATGCTCTCTTAAGTTTTACACTAATGCAATAGCCTGATTTTAGGTATTTACACCTTAAATGACCACTATGTTAACAGAGAAAATAAGGACAGCTGATTCTACCTACCTTTACTTCAGGACCCAAGACAGAACTTCAAATATTATGAATATAAAAAAAGTATAAAAATAGATTAGATTGGTGAGGAAATTTTGCAGTGGTCTTGGCAGGCCAATTACATTTCACGTTTTTCTCATCATATTGCATTCCTTTCCTTTCAGGATTTCAAGCTACACAAGCAGCTCCTTCGAGCACAGTCTGTTCACGAATTGGACCAACTTATAACGCACTCCCTCCTAAAGAGTGTCTCCTTCCTGCAATGAAATGACAGGGCCCGGGGGAGGGAGGCAGAGGAACTGGACAACAGACCTGGCTATGACCAACTTCCTGCGCTCCTCGGTGCTGTATGGCTGCAGAAGAGGAATGCCTAACAATCTCACTTCTTCAAGTTTAGGGAATGAATTTAGTTTGTCAATGTCTTCCCAGGACTGCAAACCTAATTTGAGAAACATATTTTTTAAATAAATCCAGAAAAGTACACAAAGAAGAAGATATACATAGAAAAATAACTTCAGTTAATATGTGAAATACTAAAATAATTGTAAACTAGATATCCTGATTTTATTTATTTATTTATTTATTTTATCCAAGGAAAGAATGGAATACATTTCACAGCATAAAGGCTTCCTGGTCTCTCCTATCCCTGTGATCTCAGAGGTCAAGGAGAGAGACCTTCACTCTCTGACATTCATTCATCTTCTAAGGGATCACCGTGATTTCAATAAGCAGGACGCATGCCATAAGTACAGAGAATGGTGACATGACCAACTCTCCCACCAAGTACAGACTCCGGGAACAGGACCATTTATGATCAGGCTTAAATCTTATACCTAATAAATTCTAAAATGGGGCAAGTTCAACAGATCCAGAAACTTAGGATTAACTCTCTTTCATACTGTCCTGATTTCGGAGACAGGGAAAACAAATTCAAAATTTAAAGGAAACAAAAACAACAAACCTGCACCTTTGGGTAAGAACATGCAATAAATTAAGTTCATCTATTCCTAAAAGGAAATCCTTCCTATGCTGTAAATACATCAACCAAATCACTGCTTGGCAGTGGTTGGAAACATATTCCTGTAACAATGAAGCTGCCGATTTTACAGCACGTTGACTCCATGTTAGAGAACGTGATCCCTTCCTATTTCTGTTCATCTCCAGTGAACACAAAACAGAGGAGCAAGTTATGATACCCCCCCCCCCCCCCCCCCCGCCACACCCACGCACACACACACACACACACACACACACATACACGTCCTCTCCCTTTTGCACGGCATTCCCATCCAGGAGGAAGAATGGATTAGCTCAACGGGGGCAGAGGGGCAAACAACTTCATTATGCAATATACTAGTTTTTAAAACTTATGCCCTCTACAGTGAATTCAACTGTTTATATTTTCTCTGTTGTAGGTTATCTATTTTAAGTTATGTAGCTGTTTTAAGAAATAGGCTACCAGTAAAAGACAATGTCATGAAAATGAAAAGAAAAGCCACAGACAGGGAGAATATATGTGCTAAAACTGATCTGATAAAGGACTGTTACCCTATAAAATACACAAAGAATTCTTAAAACTCTACAATAAGAAAATGAACAATCTGATTTAAAAATGGGTGAGAGACCTGAATAGACAGGAGATATATAGATGGCAAGTAAGTATATGAAAACATATTCAGCATCATATGTCATAGGGATGTAAAGACAGAAAAAAGGCCTTTCTTTTTATTTGCTGTGGCCTTCCACAATTTATGAGAAGTACCTGGTAATTAAACCCCAAGATATTAGCTCCTCTGATTCAAATAGCCCCTCTGTTCAAACTGCAGAACAAGGCAAGCTACTCTCCAGGCTACATTCTTGCATCCACCTCCTCCCTGCTGCTTTCAGAACTCAAGAATAACTCCAACCAAGAAGTCTCTAATTAGTAGAAAGTTCACTTCCCCAGTCCCCCTCAAAGAAGCCTCTTTTAAACTTTTCCTCTAAGCTTGTTTTACACGCATAGGGAAAATGCTGGTAAGATACCTCCCTGGTGCATCTACTGTACTACCTTCTGGAAAGCAAACAAACTGTAACTTTCCAAGACAGCCCCTGGTATCCACTCAACTTCAATACAACACAAACCCCTCCCTCCCTTGTCGCCTAGCAATGACAGCCATTATTCTTTAGAAGTGGAAGCTCCTTTTTGTTCCCTGTCCTGTATTGATTAGCAATGCACCAGCCCTTTCCTCTCTTGGAAAGTAAAATAAACTTCCTTTCTGCATCTCTTTTTTAGCTGTGAATTCTTCCACAGCCCAAGTCTCCGGCCAAACCCTAACATTTTGGTGGCCTGTGTAGAGAGTTAACTTCTTCAACTTCTCCTCTGTCTCCGGAGATTCTCTCTTCTCTCAGCTGTGAATTCTTTCACAGCCTGCATCACTGTCCAAATCCTAACAAGGGAATTGCAAATTAAAACAATAAGATAACACTATGCACCTATTAGAATAAGCAAAATCAAAAACCTGACACCACCAAATGCTGACAAGGATGTGAAGCAATTCTCACTCATTGCAGGTACAAAATGTTACTTTGGATACAGTTTGTCAGTTTCTTATAAAACTAAACATATTCTTACCAAATGATTTAGCAATTATCCTCCTTACTATTTATCCCAATCAACTGAAAAGTTTATATTTACAGAAAAACTGCACACAGAGGTTTACAACAGCTTTATTCATAATTGCCAAAACCTGGAAGTAATCAAGATGTATTTTAGTTTGTGAGTGGATAAATAAACTGTGGTATATCCAGACAGTAGACTAGCACAGGATGTAAGTGCTAAAAATAAATAAGCTATCAAGCCATAAAAAAACATGAAGGAAACTTAAGTGATAGAATCAGAAAAGGCTGTATGATTCCAACTACATGACATTTGGAAAAGGCAAAACTATGGGAACAGTAGAAAACACCAATGGTTGCTAGGATTGGGAAGAGAGGGAGGATAACTGGGCAGAGCACAGAGGACCATTAGAGCAGTGAGACTATTAAGTATTATACTCAGTGGTTAAGTACTTGTCATTATAAATATTCCAAACCCAGAAATGTGTACTACCAGGAACGACCCTACGGTAAACTAGGTGGTGAGGGCATGTATCGCAGGTTCCATTGTAACAAAGGTATCACTGGTGCTGGGATGCTGAGAGTGGGGAGGTTGTGCTTGTGTGAAGGGAGGGGACATGCAGAAACTTTCTGCTCTATTTTGATGTGACTCTAAACTGCTCTAAAAAATAAAGTTTGTTAATTTTTTTTAAATCAGCTAAAAATATTCACTCCTGTGATACACAGAATTAGATGGCAACAAACTGGCAATCAAATATGTAAGTACTAGAAAAGAGAAGAGAAAATTTGAGAGGCACACCAGGTTGGGATTCGCTATCCTAAATCCACACAATATGGTCTACTTTGCAATTCCTTATATTCTTTCTAGTCTGCCTTTTATTATACAATTCATCAATTTCACTCCTTTCACAGCATGACCCCTTTAACATACAAAATGTAAATAACTAATATAATGCTATGCCACTTGATTTATGACAATGAATGCCTTAAATTCAGCTGATCCCCAGGCACCTGCAGGTCGCTTCTGGAAACGGTCCTCTAAGAAGGCAGAGCTGACTGCAGGAATATACTTGCACTGACTTTCATGCATAAGCTCAGCTCAGGTCATATGGGACTGAGAACAAGCCAATACCTCACCTGACTTGTGGAGGCTGATAGATCGCAGGTTAGGAAACAACCTGGCCAGTGAGTCATCAGGCTCCTCAATAGCATTCAGGTGGTTGTTGGCCAGGACCAGGGTATCCAGCGAAGGAAACATTGCTCCTAACTTTCGTATTTCAGTCCAGTCTTGGAGATTATTGTCTGTTATATGTAGGAGCTTCAAAGAATGACAGCAAATAGAAGGACAAGACACTGTTTCATAGTCATTAAGGCACAGGAAGAGCTCCTCCAAACTGGAGAGAAAAAGAGAAATATTTCATTGTATAGAGCAGTTAACTTCCTACTTGGCACCTATTTTCATTAATTGAAGAAATAAATAAGTGCTACTATGTGTGAGCCTCTGCTAGGTGTTACAGGGAAAATACAGATATCTTCCTGAAGCTAAAATACAGCTGAGACCACGGCAGAGGAAGATATAACCCAGAACTAAATTAACTTTGTGCTTAATTAAGCAGTACTAACTGTATGTACAAAGGTATTTAATAGAGGCATGGAATTAAAATTGTGTTAGAATAATCAGGTAAGGATGCATAATCTTGAAGGAGGGGCAGACTTGTACAAGTTGAGAGAAGATGGAAGAAAATTCCAGAAATAACATGAACAAATATTTAGAACATAAATAATATCTACCATTTATTGAATTTCTACCCTGTGTCAGGCCCCATGCCAGATGCTTTATAGACTGACTGTTCTTCTATTTCTGCAAGGTAGATCTAGTTATGCCCATTTTATAGACAAGGAAATAGAGCTCAGAGAGGTTAATTAGCTTATCAAAGGCCATATATATATATATAAAAGCCTAATATGCTAAGTGTCTGTTTAACCAGTAGCTATGATGCGCACTGACCACCAGGGGCAGACGCTCAATGCACAGGCATGGGAACATGGAACAGACTGATGAATCTCAGAGGGAAGGGAGGAGTGGGGAGGAGGGAGGGCGGGAAGCGATTAACCAAAGACCTTATAAGCATACTAGAGGCCCAGCACCTGGATTCAGGCCAAAACTGGATTGCAAGAAGCCAAGCCAAGGGACCCCACACATGCATGAATTCATGCACCGGACCTCTAGTATGATTAAAAAGTAGAACATCATCCTGTGCCATGTTGGATGCTGCAGGCATGAGGAAACCAATCTCACTAGATTGATAGTGGGAAGCTAAAGTGGAATAAATGGGGTGAGACCAAATTCTGAAAAGCTTTGATATTTTTATATTTATACAGTAAAAAATCTACAGATTCACATATTTCTTTAAACTACTTCCTTTGAACATTTATGCATATTTAAAGATAGATAAAAACAAATTAACAAAGTATCTCTAAAATGACAAGAGTATAATTTCTTACATAAAATATTGAAAAGAATAAATACCAGGTTTATTTCCAATGAGGCCAGCTATGTATTACAATAATCTGAGTGTTAATATATTTTAGAGATACTGTGATTATTTTTTCCACTAAAGAAAAGGTGAGGCAAAATTCTGAAACCAGGTAATCAGAAGATTAAAATGGAGAAAGGCTGGGTTGATCTAGAAATGATAAGTGCTATTCTCAGGGCTATTTTCTAGCCAAAGATCAGCATATCCTATGTTACCCAACACTGAGCGAGCATTCCAGTGAGAACACTCCTGAGTTACGCATTGGTAACCGCTCCCCATTGTCTTGCAGGCCTAGTATTTCTGAGCGGCAGGGCATGGGGATTCCATGCCCAGGCAGTGCACCAGCCTCCCAGCATGTGCTCCTGCTTACTCTGGCAGCTCCTGCAGGATCGTGTGCACTGTCTCCCAGGAGGCTTTGCTGTTATTGAGGACAAGTTTTCGAACCCCAGAGAAGGACCCAGCACTTGTTCTTTCTAAAACTGACAAATTCAGAGGGTTGGAACTCAGGTTTAGAAACTCCAACTGGGGAACATTTGACACAATTTTACTGACCTAGGGAGAGAAAAAAAAAGAATATCAGGCAATAATCAGAGTTTCTAAATAGCAATCATGTTCAGACAGAGGATCTAAATAGCAATCATGTTCAGAGCCTAAGCGAGTGGCTCTCCAGACAAAGGATCATTCACATTGGGGAATTCTATTTAGTGACAGTACCCAGAGTGGCATAAATAATTTCAACAAATCTTGGCAAATAACAATCTCCTTCTATGAAACAGTGTCAGAACAGAAAAGTAATGGTACAAACAAAAAGCTTTCCATTGTTGCCTTTGGCAAGGTTTTTATTCTGATATTCTCTTTGATAAATGGAAAAAAGACAATTTAGACTACAAGTTATTAAAGAGCTCAGTTTGGGTCCTCTTTGTAATCCTCTTTGAATATTTCCTTTTTTCTTCCACCCTCATTACAACATTAAGGCTAAGTGAAATGAGCCAGCCAGAGAAAGACAAGTATCACATGATCTCATTCATATGTGGAATCTAGTGAATAAAATAAACTGATGGACATAATAGACCCAGAGTCAGAAACATGGAGCAGACTGACAAATCTCAGTGTGAGGGGGTAGGTGGTGAAGAGAGATTAACCAAGGAATTCGTATGCATGTATGCATAACCCATGAACACAGACAATAGTGTAGTGAAGGGCGAGGGGGCGGGGGGAGAAGGGGAGTGCAAGGGGACATCTATAATCCTTTCAACAATAAAGATATATTTTAATAATTACTTGATTAAAGACCACAAAGTAACAATTCAGGTGTTCAAACTTGACTACAGAGCCACAATCACTAGAAAACAGGTGCAGCTTGGGTCAGAGAGGTACTAAACTTTAAAATATATTCGCTAAAAATGTAAAAAAAAGCCCAAGAACTATATAATAAGAAAGAAAACATGATCATAAATTTAATAATTTAACTAGTAAACTGGTAGACACAACAATTTTAAAAAGGACCTGAGCATTACTGACCTTAGCTACTGGCTTTGTGTAGCAATAGACTCTGCATAGCTTCTTGCACTACAAGCCCCAACAACTTGCTAGATGATTAATACTATTTCTATTTTAACAAATTAAGAAAATGAGCCTCAGAGACGTTAAATATTTGACATCTTGTGTTAAATCAGGTTTCAGAATCACAAAAGCCAAATCTCAAGTTAAAAATCAGAAAGGCAAATCTAAAGTTAACCCATGGTCCTTCCCAATAGACAGTCGCCCCCTATCTGCAGCTCTGCTTTCCACAGTTACCCACAGGCAATCATGGTATGAAAGTATTAAATGAAAAATTCCAGAAATAAGTCACAAGTTTTAAATCAGGTGCCACTGTGAGTAGCATGATTACATCTCGTTCTGTCCGGCTCTTTGCCCCCAGGACAGAAATCACCCCTTTGTCCAGGTGCCCACCCTGCATACACCACCTGCCCCACCCACTCATCAGTCATTTGGTCGCCATCCGGTTATCCTATGGACTGTTCTTCAAGCAATCCTTCTTTCACTTAATAATGACGCCAAGGCACAATAGCAGGGATGCTGGCGCTTTGGGTATGCCAGAGAGCAGCCATGAAATACATGCATTCACATACAAAAACCATAGTACATACAGGGCTTGGCATTACCAGTGGTTTCCAGCATTCTTTGGGGAACTTGGAATTTCTATCACATGTACCACAACTAGTAAATTATAAATATAACCAGAAAAAAATGAGAACTAGGCTTAAAGTAACATAAAGTGCTAGAAGCCCACTGAGTGTTTAAACATGCAGAGCCAGGCAATGTGGTAAATGAAGTTAGGAGAAAAGGAGTTAGCAGAATACTAGTAGGCAGCACTGGTTGAGGGGCCAGACCAGGTCCCAATACTTCCTAGTTGTGTCTTAAAGCTTTCCAAAACTCAGTTTCCTCATTCGGAACACAGAGAAAATAGCAACCATACTTTTCACTGGACGGCTGGCGGAATTCAAGGAGGCACGGGTGCCAGCCCTGCTCATGGTGAGTGCACTTCTTTTAGAAGCTGGTTCCCTTGCCCAGGAGAACGTAAACTCTAGGAAAGCGGGACAGCACTTAACCTTCTTCATTCACTACTACACTGCGGCACTTAATGTTTATTGCATAAGTTAATGCACAAAATCATTCAATAAATGTAATTACTGCTAAATAAGTTTAGTATGAACTAATATGTCATATCGTGTTTTTTTTTAAAGGAAAATACTCAAAATATGATAATTTAAGGGTTTTTTAAAGCAATTTCTGGAAGAATTCCCAAAGCGAACAGATACTGATGTAACCTTTCCCAAGGCTGCATCTACCCTACAGTCCAATGAGAATAAAGATTAGAACAATGACTTACTAGCCCTGGAATATCCCAAAAAGACAATGTTAGACTACAGTCTAATAATTAAAGCAGAAAAAATAATAGATGTTCAAAACAAATAAATATTTTATTTACAAAGCTGAAATTAGAAAGTATTTTAGGGTAACCATAAATTAATAGTAAGATTCTGAAAAATGTAACACCTTACACAGGTAAACCTACTTATGGCAGAAAAATGTCCTAATAGTAAAGACGGGCAAGCATGCAGTAAGTTTCTAGGGCAGCCCACTGACTTCTCTTTTTTAACTTCTAAAAACCAACCAACCAACAGAAACCGCTTCCAGCTGGAGTGAGCTGAGCAGGCTCATGTGCAGAAACATGGAGCTGAACTCGTATCTCCTTTAAGTCTCCACATTCTATTATTTGAGAGGGGGCCCTCTACTCAGGCTTCTAAAAAGAAAAAAAATTACAGTTTTAGGAAAAATGGGACAAGCATTATAAGACAACAATCTGTAACTTCTACCCAAGCTATTCTCTACCTCACCTGAGTAGCTAATACTTCCCTCCTCTCAACTCTTTTATAAAATGATTTTGATAAGAAAGGGAAGAAACAGAAGATACCATGGGAAAAGTCAGAGTAAAATCTAGTTAGATAAAAATTCAAGTCAAAAGCTAAAAAAAAATGCATCTTGTTTTAACACAAAGACGCCCGACTTTGGAAGGACAGAGACAAATCTTTGCTTCCCCCATAGTATTACCCTTCTCAGTCACACTGATCTTAGTCTGGACACATAGCAGCCAGTAGTTTAAACTACATAAGGAGTTACACATAGCATTCAAAACACTACAAGAGCAAATGATATTACAGTATTTTGTTCCACTTTGCTATGTCAAATACTGGCTGAATAAACTTAGTTATGGACAGAAACAAATATCTTTTTGGCAATCAGATCTATGGGCTGCAATGGGGTTGAAATGTCTAAAAACTGTGACCTTTTTGTAGCCTAGCAGAGTTAAATCAATCCTCAAAATCAATATTCTTTTGCTGTATGTCTCCCATCTCTCTGTGTTCTGATTTATGTTCTAGAAGACTGAGATCAATCATGTTTAAGGTTAAGGACAAATATAAAGCAATGATGAAAACAAAAATAAACTGGAAAAGACACCAGAAGGGCAGTAGCAGCAATTATTTACTTGAAAACAAACTACAGAGAGCATACACAGAGGACCTACAAACTCCACTGAGGGCAGATACGCAGGCCACCCTGGGCCGTCACATCACTGCGGCGTGAAGGTCAGGGCAGCTCGGTCTCGGTGGAGAAAAGGCGGAGTACTCATGCGAACTGTGTTCTGACCCCCGCTGACATACACTGCTCTCCTGAGGCAGCAGCATCATCACTGCCAAGCGCTTCCCACCAGGTAGCAAAGGCACAGGTCAGAGCACGAAGCACGCACCTTAGTAAAGTTTACCCTCCCAAGGAGACAGATTAGTTGAACCAGGGACACTGGAGCGGAAATGATTCAGAGGAAGGTTTGGTCCAACTTGTCGCCCACGCAGGTCAAAAATCTCCCTGCGTTCGGCAGGAGGACACTGCAGGGTCCTGAGGAGATACCAAGCGAGTTCTCTTTGCATCTGTACAGTGTGGACAGAGCACGCGTGTCAATTAAGCCCCTCTAAGGACAAAGAAGGCAGACTATACTCTGCTAAATAGTGAACCACACTGTTCAGATCAGTGTATCAATCAATAAAAACATGTACAAATAGGGACTTTTTCTTGGAACAGCAAGAAGTCTGTGTATATTAACAAGTCACTTAGAAATCAAGTGACATGCCTCTCAAAGAATTCAGGTGAGGATCTCCATGGAAGCAGCAAGTATGACTGGGAGCAGTCACTGGATTGAGGCTATGAAATAAGAAAACTCAACAATAGAAAGCTGTCTTAGAATTTGTAATGTGGCCGGGACCGGTTTGGCTCAGTGGATAGAGCGTCAGCCTGCGGACTGAAAGGTTCCGGGTTCGATTCCGGTCAAGGGCATGTACCTTGGTTGCGGGCACATCCCCATTGGTGGGTGTGCAAGAGGCAGCTGGTCCATGTTTCTCTCTCATCGACGTTTCTAACTCTCTGTCCCTCTCAATTCCTCTCTGTGTAAAATCAATAAAATATATTTTAAAAAAATAAATAAAATAAAATAAAAAAGAATTTGTAATGCGTTTAAGCATCTATAAAATGCCTTGGTGATGAATCTTATCAGCAGCCCTGTCTGTAACCAGAGCAAACTGAAGCACTAAAAACGAAAGGATTTTTAAGATCACAAGACAAGTTGGAGCAGTGGTCTTCATTCATCCTTAAGAGACAGTCATGTACTCATTACTGAAGTCACAGACATCTGAGTGCCCAGTGTGGGGTGCTGATGATAAAAGACAAAACCTCCACTTTGTGGAAGGTCAAGGAGCAGGGAGGTGCCGAGGGCGCCAGTGACTGCAGAACCTTGTGCGGAATCCTTCACGGGGGAGCGCTGCCTGGGGGACGCAGGGAAGCTCCTGGGGGAGTGGCCTCGGCCGGTGCGCTGTGACACAGAAAGAGGGAAGTGGATTGAGAAGGAACTGACAGCAAGGAAGCGTGTCCTGGAACAGCTTCTCCCGCTGTAAGAAGCTGAGGTTAAAGATGAAGAGGAGACTCTAGGAATAGCACAGGGCCAGCTGAAGGAGGGCCACCCCAGGCAGTGACAGACAGCTATAGGCCCTCAGCCTGGAGCCAGGCACCACCCTCTTTCACTTACTCACACGGAAGACAGGTTAGAGCAGTGGTTGGCAAACTCATTAGTCAACAGAGATAAATATCAACAGTACAACGATTGAAATTTCTTTCTAGAACTGAAATCCAACTTCTGTGCATGGGCCACAAAATTTCAATCGCACTGTACGTGCACACCCACACATGGTATTTTGTGAAGAGCCACACTCAAAAGGCCAAAGAGCCGCATGTAGCTCTCAAGCTGCAGTTTGCCAACCACTGGGTTAAAGGAAGCAGACAAAGCTGAGGCAGGATAACCCATTAACAAGCTTTTCCAAGCAAGAAATAAGAGCCTAAATTAAAAACAAATAAAGAAAAACTATTTTCCCCTTATTCTAAAGCACATGTGTCAAACACAAGGCCCGCGGGCCAAATCCGTCCCGCCAGGCCTTGCAATGTGGCCCGCACCGCGCTGTCATCACTGCACTCCGCTGCGTTTCCATCACAATGACAGTTTATGACTGTTCAGTAAACGATTCGGCCCGTGATTTAGGCTGGATTTTAGATTTTGGCCCCTTCTCTGATTGAGTTCGACACCCCTATTCTAAAGGGTAGCTTCCACTGGGTAATGCTATAATCAGAAAGGCAATGATATCCTATGTAATAAAGAGCTAGTACGCTACTTAGACAAGACAGCGGAACAACCTGTGGGGCCGAGCCCCCTGCATAAATTTCGTGAATAGGGCCTCCAGTGTATAAAAGAGAGAGTGCTATATTACTTTTATTTATATAGTTGGTTTAGAGTTACTCTGGGATCAAAAGACATCTGTTATGTCAAACTCCCAAAGAGACTTAATAAAGTAAGAAAAAATTCTACCATGTTTCCCCGAAAATAAGATATCCTCCAAAAATAAGACCTAGTGCATGGAAAGATAAGACATCCCCTGAAAATAAGACCTAGCACAACTTTGGGAGAAAAAATTAATATTTTTTCCAAAATTTATTCCAAATATTTTACCCTGTTTCCCCGAAAATAACAGGTAAAATATTTGGAATAAATGTCAGTAACAAGAATATTACTTCCAACCCTAAACAACTTTTATGTCGGTTTTTAGTAATAAATGTTAAAGTAGTAGCAGAGAATAAGTATAGGATGTGTAAACCAGGGAAAGAGTAGAAAATTTGCCCTAACCAGTATGGCTCAGTCGGCCTGCGGATTCAAGGGTCCCAGGTTTGATTCTAGTCAATAGCATGTACCTTGGTTATGGGCACATCACCAGTAGGGGGTGTGCAGGAGGCAGCTGATTGATGTTTCTCTCTCATGGATGTTTCTAACTCTCTATCCCTCTCCCTTCCTCTCTGTAAAAAAAATCAATAAAATATATTTAAAAAAATGAAAGTAGAAAATTTAACACATTGTTAGCAATCTAAACTTCCCTCAACTTATTACCCTTTCGATGCCTGGAATAAAGTTCCTCAGTGTTTTTCACATTAGTAAAAACTAATAATCAAGTTAATTGAAAAATTACCGTAAGAACAGCTGAAATAGCCAGTTATGTATCTTAGGCAGACAGGCAACAAGAACCTCAAATGAGAACGAGTTCAGCAGAATACTTGATACCATAAGCAATGCAAGGATTATTGCTGCATTCCCCAAAAAGCAGCGATAGGAGAGCTTTACCTCCTGCCAGTCTTCCAGTTTGTTGTCAGAAAGATCCAGTTCTGACACGTGAGCACAAAAGGCAGCGATTTCGGTCTCCTCCCCCGCACAGGTGATCCCGCAGCTGTTCAGCACCAGGACGCTCGGGAGGTTGAGGCGATCTGGATCACAGGAAACAGAACACTTTCTTTGTCAGCCTCGTTCTTGTTTGACACACGCAGCCCCCAGGAATCAAACCAAAAGCTACGATGGGACCCAAGGGTTCTGAATTCTCAGTGGAGACCCCAAATTCGAAGCAGGCAACAGTTTGTTTCGAAACAAACCCCGAGGAGATGGAAGTCCCGGGGCTCCCCGCCCGCAGCCTGGCATCCCTCACATAGGCCATCATCTCGCCACCTGAAGGCCAGGTCCACATGACTCGTGTTGACTACCAGTGTCTTCTTACTGGCCTTAGTTCTTTCCTCTTTAAAATGTAGTCTCTGCAAACCTACTTCTGTTTGTCTACATGTGCCAATAAAATCACTTACTATCCTATCCTATCTATATAATATCCTATATAATAAAAGCATAAATATGCAAATCAACCGAATGGCCGAACAGTGGAATGGCCATTGGGACCACGCTATGACATCCACTGGCTCAGGATGGCCAAGGCGGTGCGATGCGATTGGTAGGGGCCCGGCCATCGCCCCGTGATTTTCTGCAGAGGGAGGCCCAGGCTACCCACGTGAGGGCTGAGATGGTGGGCGAGGCCTCCCTCTGCGAGGGAAGCCCAGGTTCCGGGTTCTGGTGCCGGAGGGAAGCCCACCGGTGCCGGCAGCAGGGGGAAGAAAGGGTTCTTCTTGCACGAATTTCGTGCATCAGGCTCCAGTCTCTAATAAAATGGGTAAGCGTGAGAATTCAACCACTCTTTCCCTATGTGTATAAAACAAGGACTCATTAAGTATTATTTAATAATGGAGGCCTCACATTGCATGATTTTTCAATTTAGTACTTATCAGTATCAAGTTTTTCAGAAAGAAAATTACCGTATTTTTCGGACCATAAGACGCACTTTTTTTCCCCCAGAAGTGGGGGGGAAAAGTCCCTGCATCTTATGGTCCAAATACAGCCTACACATATACTTTAAAAAAAAAGGTTTTTTACTTGCCCAGCTCTGTGTGGTCTCTGTGTGCTTGCCCGGCTCTAAAATGGTTCTAAATGCTGCTGTTTACTTTACAGGGTTGATTACATGTGTTTATGACTGTGATGTTGGGTTTTAATGCACATAAAATATTTTAGGACACTATTTGTTTCAGAATCTTTTTTTCTTCATTTCCCTTCTCTAAAAACTGGTGCGTCTTATGGTCTGGAGCGTCTTATGGTCTGAAAAATACGGTAAGCCTGAAAAAAATGACCTACTAAGAAGTCCACTTCGTCATTCCAGTTGATATGGAATGAGAAGATCGCTGCAATGAGAAATAATAAATGCTCATTAACCTTTGGATATAGGAACCAAAACACTGCCCAATAATAACTTTCAATAATTACAAAGAACTAATTCTATGAACTGTTTGTTACAACAATGAGCTAAAACAGCATGCACACTTCTATTTGTAGATCTTTGCTCATATCATAATCCCTCTTCTAGAATGTCTTTATCTCTTCTCTAACAAAATTCTACATTCTTGAGGGGTTAGTTCAAGTCTCACAGCTTTGAATCCTTTTCTGATATTAACTCTCTTCTAAACTTCTTCCCCAATCACTGTATCATTCACTGGGCTCAGCATAAACTACCTCATGTTAGTTTCGTAAATGTGACTAATTTGTCATTCAATTAGGCTGTTTGGCTGTTGAGGACAAAGGAGTTTTGCAGTCTCTTGCACCCTCCAAGTTCGTGAAAGAATATGTAGTAGAAATGATATCACTCAAATATCGTTCTTGCCCTATGAGTCCAACTAAAATGACTTTCGACCACTAAGGAGCAAAACAAGTCCTTTCAGTTTTTTCAAAAAAATGAAATCACAGTAAGGGAGAAAAACTGACTCATAATTCAAAATAAAAGTATTTGCAAAAAGGCAATATTCTGGTTTAATGTCCTAAGTAAGTCCAGCAAATAAATCTTTTCGATCTCTTTCTCACCTTTCATAGGAGAGCCCTGAGGTGTAGCTGGGACGTGGACTCCCATCCCAGGACCACGGCGGTAAGGAAAGTTTTCAGGACTATATTTTTCACATAACACTTGCATAAAACTCCTTCCAGTAGGCTGATCCATCTTCCTTTCCTAAAATTCTACAAGAAACCAAGAAGTCATCAGGATTATTTATTTTCTAATATAAGAAATATTTATTAAGAACTAATTATTTGAGACACGGGCCAGCCGGGCGCCAGCAAGGAGCCGGGCGACGGGGCCCCCAGGGGGGAAGGGTGCCCCTGGGCCTTCAACCACTGAGCGCAGGCCATGGAGCCGAGGCCGGGGGCTGCTTCCTGGGCGGTGCCGACCCCTGCAACAGGCTGAAGCAGCACAGGAGCCCGCGGAGAACAAAAGATAGTAAAATTACTTAAGAAAGAATATAAAGATCTTGAAAAATCGAAGACTAAGTCAGAACTCAACTCAGCAGCCAACATTGCAACATAAATGCGTTTAAAAAAAAAAAAAAAAAAAAAAAAAAAAAAAGGACAGAATGTTGGAATGGCGGCGGCCAGGCCTAGAGTGGCCAGGCACAAGGCAGTGGGAGCCGGGCCTGGAGCAGCAACAGCCAGGGCCCAGAGCAGCAGCAGTCAGAACCAGAGAAGCAACAGCCAGGCCTGGAGCAGCCAGACCTGGGGCAGTGGCAGCCAGGCCTGAGGCGGAGGCGGTCAAGCCCAGGGTGGCCAGTCCAGGAACACCCAGGCCTGGAGTGGCCGGGCCCGGAGAAGCTGGGCCCAGAGCAGCCGGGTCAGGAGCAGCCAGACCCAAAACATCAGCAGCCAAGCCCGGAACATTCAGGCCGGGAACTGCCAGGCTAGGAGCGGCCGGGCCTGGGGCAGCCGGGCCCAGAGCAGCCGGGTTGGGAGCAGCCAGGCACAGAGCAGCAGCAACCATGCTTGGAGCAGCCAGGTCAAGAGCGGCCAGGCCTGGAGCGGCTGGGCCTGAAGCAGCCGGGCCCAGAGCAGCCGGGATGGGTGCGGCCAGGCCCGGAGCAGCAGCAGCCACACCCAGAGCAGCCAGGTCGGGAGCGGCAGTGGCCAGACCTGGAGTGGCTGGTTGTGGAAAGGACCAGAGCAACAGAGGCCAGGCCCGGAGCAGCCAGGCCCGGAAAAGCTCGCTCCTCGCCTGCCTCCGCCCCAAGGCTGCCTCTCAGACATGGCTGGAAACTTTTGGGGGAACTTGAGGGTCTGCTGAATCAAATGAGGAAGGCTTAGATCTGGATGTGTTGAGTTAGTATAGCGCTGGGGTGTTGATCTGTGAGTGTCTTGTGTGGGGCCTGGATGAGATTGGTTGATCTATTTGGAAATGTCTTTTGTGTATCCTTGGGCATGTGGAGGTATTATTGATTTGAGAAAATGCTAAGTAACTGATTTATTATGTGAAAAATGTAAAGTTCTGAAAGTTTAAGGTCTCTTGCCAAAAAGAGGTTTTTAAAGCTAACACCTTAATTTTAATGGAGAAAGGGAATGACAAGCCCTTCCCACCCAGAACAGGTAATCCAATTCCAACCAGCAGCTATGTTTAAACAATGTGTCCATTTACACTTAAATGGCTACACCTTTTGATAGCCTAAGGGCAAATTTACATGTAAACAAGTTTGCACTCAATTCCCAGGGCAGACAAAAAAACAAGGTTTAAAATTAAAAAAAAAACAACAAAAAACTATTTATAAGGCACTAGGCTAGGCACTGCAGACACCTAGGACACGGTCACTGCTCCTAAGAATTCATACTGTGGTGAGACCTTATGACTCAGGACCTTATGACTCATAAAATATCCAATATATTTAAAATTATGACTCAGGAAGGCCACATGTAGACAAGCCAGCAGTATAGTTCAGCACATGATCATCACAATACAGACGAAAAGTGCTACATGACTTCGAGGAAGAGGCCATCATTCTCAACCCAGGGCAACAAGAAGACTGTTGGCTGGTGCATAGGGTTCATGTGCTAAAAATAACAGGAAAAGGACTAAACAGAAAGTAAAGACTAAACATCAGACTAAAGCCATTTGAATGAATCCTCTATTTTTCTCCTCTTCCTCCATAGTAAAAAAAATGTTTAACTGTGTACATAGCTACCTGTATTTAGGAATGACAATATGATTAAGTTCTAGTTGATGAGATAGAAACAAATTATTCTATGTCCACTTCTAGAAATCATCCTTTAAAGAGCCAGAGCCTGGCCAGTTCGGCTCAGTGGTTGAGAGTTGTCCTATGAACCAGGAAGTCACACATAGTTTGATTCCAGGTCAGGGTTGTGTGCTCAATCCCCAGTAGGGAGCATGCAGGAGGCAGCCAATCAATGATTCTCTCTCATCATTGATGTTTTTCTCTCTCCCCCTTTTCCTTCCTCTCTGAATTTTTTTCAAAAAGCCAGAGTATGCTTTTTGCCCGTTATTTTTACTTTTGTTGCTTTTTGCCCAAGTTATTTTTACTTTTGTTGCCTCTGCCCAAGATATATATATATAATTGTGCTGCTGACTGGTTTGGCTCAGTTGAGAGAGAGTCGGCCTGTGGACTGAAAGGTCTCAGTTTCAATTCCGGTCAAGGGCATGTAACTTGGTTGCGGGCACATCCCCAATAGGGGGTGTGCAAGAGGCAGCTGATAGATGATTCTCTTTCATCGATGTTTCTAACTCTCTAGCCCTCTCTCTTTCTCTCTGTAAAAAAATCAATAAAATATATTTTTAAAGAGTTTACTAACTTTTCTTCTAGGAGTTTTATAGTTTCAGGTTTTACATTTAAGTCTCTGGTTTTTAATTTACTTTTGTTTATGGTGTAAGAAGTGATCTAGTCTGATTGCTTTGCATTTATCTGCCCAGTTTCCCCAACACAATTTATTGAATAGACTGACTTTTACAACAATATATGTTCTTGCTTCCTTTGTTGTAGATTAATTGACCATTTAGGCATGGGTTTATTTCTGGGCTCTCTATTCTGTTCCTTGACATGTGTGTCTGTTCTTGTGCCAGTACAAACACTTGTCCACTTGCAGTACCAAAAACTGTATTTGTACAATTTACCAGCTGAGACTACAGACTGTCCCCTTGAGAATACAGGGCTGCCCTGTGGGGATCCTCGTTGAGCTGAAGGACGCAGCCTGTCTCAGCTCTGTCCACGTACAGGGATCAGTGCTACAGTGTCCTCTCCCACAGTCCCGAGTGTGTCACAGCAGATGCAGTCATCTAGGCCTCAGGAAACTTCCAGTTGAAAGGTTATTTTTTTCAATGTAAATTTATCGGAGCAGGGGCTATGTCATCAGCAACAGCACCTCAGCTCTTATCAAAGACTGTCTCAAGCAAATGCCAAGAAAAAATTTAGAAATGTTTAACAAAAAGAAGTTACACTGCTATCTTCCACGCAATTAGCATTTCAAAAGATTAAAGGGTGTGGAGAGGGTGCTGAGCTGTCAGCCTCAGCATAATGGTCACCTGAGATGAAATAGCATCTTTTAACTGGAAGCATCAGGACCACTTCACTTCAAATCTATGCAATTCAAGAGCAATAATCTTATACACAATTTAAATGGAGAAAACTGAGGAATGGTAATATTAAACACATATTAAAATCAAAGTAAGTCCTCGTAAGCAAGTAATCACAGTGCATAGCACCTAGAAAGGTTTTTCTTCATGGTCCCAGGCCTAACAACTCTCCCAGACAGCCTGGGCATCTCCTTCCTTTTCCCCCTAAAGACTTAAAAGCAGTGCCAGTGCCTTCACTGACCACTTTCCAAGAGACTCTATTGAAAAAGCTTCCCAGGAATATAGATAGTGTACACATTAATACATGAGCTTTGAATTAGAAAGTTAAGATTGCAAAATGAATCAGTAACCTAAATCTACCCAAAATCTGTTGAGGCAGTTTAAGGAGGAACAGTAGTGGAAAAGGAAAATTGAAAACCAAGCAGACTGAAAACTGAGGAATCCAGGATGGAAAAAAAAAGATCTTTTAATTAAGCGAAGCCTTTGAAAAGGTTTTTTTTGGGGGTAGGAGGGTAATCTATGTCTTTCTGGGGGAGAAAACAGGTGTCAAATTACACCTGACTAGCTCTCCAGTAGGCATGGTGCTGACACATTTGTAAAAGTGTGCTAAATTGGTGCTTAGTCGGCAGCCTTGAGTCCTGGGTGATGTCACTTGGTCCCATCATCAAGTTGTAGAGTGCGCCTGTGAAAATGTCAACTCCTTTGTGCCTCCAATCCTGACTATACTATGCTCTTGTAAAGGCTGGAGAATGTCCAGGACAAAGAGCATGTTGGTAGGTAACTTCCTCAGTGTACTTTTGCCAAATCCTACATAATAAAAGCCTAATATGCTAAGTGTCCAACTGTTTGTTCGACCGTTCGACCAGTTGCTATGACGCACTGACCATCAGGAGGCAGATGCTCCAACAGGTAGGTTAGCTTGCTTCTAGGTTAGCAACTGGGCAAGATGGGCTGGACACACCCTGGAGCCCTCCTGCAGTCCCTCCCCAGCCTCGATTGTGCACTGGTGGGGTCCCTCTGCCTGGCCAGTGCCCTCTCACAGTCTGAGACCTCTTTGGGGGATGTTGGACTGCCAGTTTCAGCCCAGTCCCCACAGGCCAGGCCGAGGGACCCCACTGGTGCACAAATCTGGACACTGGGCCTCTAGTAGATTAATATCACAACAGAGCACCCAGTCACCGAAGTACCCTCAAATGCTATCAATTTGCACTTTATATCCCCAAAGGACTAGGTCAAAATTAGTATGAAATTCAAATAGAAAATAGGCCATGTCCAGCACGAAGCAAAAGCTCCACAGTGTACTGTGTGGAGGAGGGTGCAGAGAGTACCCTCAGGCCTGCAGCCACTTCGTTCACTAGACAAGTTAAATGTGTTAATGAATGTTAGCCAAATATTTCATCCAAATTACCCAACTATCCAAACTACTGTGCTCTGGAACATATGGGCTCCAGAGGCAGAGGTGACAGTCATAAAAAAGCCCATGGGATCTGGGAGGTCAGGCCTGCCTGCCACCTCTTCCTGGGGACTAGCCAGGTGGAGTGGAGCTTCTGCAGCAGGAAGCCACCCCCAGGATCCAGGCTACTGGGACAGGAAACAATTCTGAAAAATAAACTGC